AATCATGAATACCTTCATTGTTCGTAAGTTATATGGGGGTATTCGTTTCGACTTGAAGTCCTTGCTTTTCGAGAAAAACGCAGTGAACAATAGACGCATGCAAATTACACGAATTTGTTTCGGTTGATATTAATCTATTAATATTCAAATACTGATGGGAGTTGTCATTTTAGTTTATAGAGAGAGCATACTATGAAATGGTGTGTAACAGATGCTCACTTATGAAATTCAGAAGAAAAACACATTCACACACGTACAGGATTTTATCTGACGTATGAAAAAAAAAATTTAAAGAAGAATGATTCCCCTTTCCCTTATTATGACCAAAACTGTTTGAAAATTATATTCTGAAAAGGTTGAAAATAGCTCTCTTGAGACTGGCAGCAACATAATATTGTTAATACAGTCAAACCCCGATATAGTGAACACGGCTTATAGTGAACCCCGGATATAGTGAACGAAATGCTCGGTCCCGTGCCTTGCTATACACGTATAATGTTATTTTTAGTGGATATAGTGAACCAAAAAAGTGAGGAAGTTGGATATAATGAACTTTTTTCTGTCTTCGACTGATTCCCTCCCCCATTTTCTTTGAAATAATTTTGAAATTTCTACTTCAAAATAAATACATATACCGATTTTTAAAACCATCAATAGAAACTACTTTTATGTGCTCGAATGGCAGGTTAGACAGGTTTAAAAAGCGTAATAACAGAAATTCTGGAAAAATTATCTGAGAGTCGGGAAGTGTTTCCATATCTGATGTTGAGGATTGCTCATCAGCTAAAGATTACTAATTTTTATTTGTACGCAAGACGAAGAGTGATGAAAAATAACACATTTTTTGCTACTACACAATATTTTTCAGTCATTTATTTGAATATAATGCAATAAAAGGGAGGAGTTTGGGAACCATTAGTGAAATTGCCTGCGCAACGGATATAGTGAACTCCCGGTTATAGTGAACCGAAATTTCGGTCCCTTGAAGTTTCACTATAGCGGGGTTTGACTGTAGTATTTGGCAATAAAAACAAGAAGAAAAAAAAAGTCAATTTCTACTCAGGTCAACTAAGAAAATTTTCATTTTAGTTACTTTTTATTAAATAATTAAAAATTTTTCTCCCATATAAAACTAATATTAATTAATAAAATTTAATTCATGAATGAATATTTGGGGAAAAAAAACTGTATTAACGTCTAGTGTCATCCACTACAAGTTCAAAAAAAAAATGTATTTAGAACTTGAATATATATTTGTATGTATTTGAATAACTGTGTGTGTCTCCATATTGACATTCTGCGCCATTTTCAGAATCAGAGATCACTTACAAGGGAAACTAGGGAAGTGTGACTCGGCAATCTTGAAATAAACTAGTGGGATGTATGCCTTATGAGGAATAATTTTAGGGGGCAACACATTCGCTTCGGCCCATAGAAGGTCCTGTGAGAGATAAAAAAATATTTCAATATATAGAAAAATCGGTATTTTATTACTTCAATGCAGACTATTAGTTATTGTAATTGTCTCATACTCCAATTAANGAAATGAATGAGGGAAAACTGGATCCTACCACGTGATTTCCCGGCCAATAAAAATGTAGCGTTAAACGTTTAACGCAACCTTGTTGGAAGTCGCATAAGAAGTATAACTTCAAAAAAATCAAAGTTAATTACTACTTAGGTCAACTAAAATGATTTTCTCCCATATAAAACTGAAATTTATTAATTAAATTTAATTGATGAATGAATATTTGGAAAAAAAAAACTGTATTAACGTCGAGTGTCATCGACTACAAGTTCAAAGAAAAAATGTATTTGAACTTGAATATATGTTTGTATGTATTTGAATAACTGTGTGTGTCTCCATATTGCCATTCTGCGCCATTTTCAGAATCAGAGATCACTTAACTCACTTATTTAATGCTATATTGATTTAGTATTTTAGTCTAGCAATGGTAATTCAGTCTCACTATATTTGTATTTTGGTAAATGGTAGTACTTTTTAAAAAAAAATAAAGTATCTAGAGACAGTAGTCGGAACTTCCACATTATTTTCGTAGTTTAATAAAACTACTTTTATTCAATTGTAGTTAGCTACGATTTCTTTTCTTTAAAAAAAATGTAGTAACTACAAACTACTTTGGAATTGTAGTCACTACATTAGGGACAGGTAGATAAATTATTCAACAAAAAATAAGCACCTTTTAAGCACTTTTCAAGCAATCAAAAAATATTTTTAAATACTTTAAAAAAATATCATAATTACGCAGGGTTTGAAAGTTTTTGACAATCGACGGTATTATCTTGTTTTGACCGTCATCTCAATAAAAAAAAAAAAAAAAAAATTATGGTATTGTTTTTGACAATTGTCAAAAATCATGAAATTTTGAATCATGCAAAACGAATGGCATTTTCATACGCTACGGACTGACTATACGCCGAAATAGATTGGGACTGAATTAATTATGAAAACGTTCCATAGAACAATGTGAACTGTTATTTTTACATAATTCGAAGCGAAAATCAACATAGTAAAGGAAAAATCTCATTTTGAAAAAGGGGAAAGGAAGCACTTTTTAAAAACACCCAATGAAAAAAGCACCTTTAAGGGCTTTTAAAAAACGCTACGCACCCTGAGGGAGACGAACTTCGCTGGAGTACTTAATTTACACCTATGTTCAAAATGGTTTTGAATAAGAAATTGAATTTCATTGAATAAAAGGGAATAATTAAGAAATATTTGTTCATGTTTACATGAGCCATTTGCTATTCCAAAAAAAAAAAAATTCTCGAATTTGTTCATTTGATCTTTAATTTTTTATGCCTTTTTTGATAGCGAATATTTAAGAAATGCAAAATTATCAAGTACTTGTAATTTTTTAATTGTTTAATGCTAATAATTTCCTCCACGAAATAAAGTACATCGAAAATGCGCTCCCTTCCTTGGAAAATACATCAATGTTTAAAAAGTGTGCATGTGAAAGTGTGATCTAAGTGATTAATTAACTATTTTTCGTAAGTTGGCTAGTTAAAATATTAGTTATACATTATTTTAAAACACGTAATTTCTATTAACGTTTAGCTGTAGCCACGATCATTTTCATTGCATCCATTGACGAACCCGCGAAGATTTTTTCCTCATCCAATTCGAAAAATTTGTTGCTTTGGAACGGTGTTTCTTTTCTAAACTAACGTTAAAAGTAGTTGCCAGGAATCGCTACAAACTACTGTTCTTTTTTTAATCACACTACACACTACACTACGTTTTTAAAAAAGTAGCACAGAACACTACAAACTACGAAAAAATAGTAGCGACTACAGTAGTTTCACTTGAAGTGCGCTACTTCCGACTACGGTTTAAAAATATGCTTCCTATAAAATCTTTGATTACATTTCAGTGCTCTTCCGCTTCTGTGGGAGGTGAAGAAACTTATTATCATAGTATCTATATTATTAAACTACCTATCACCGAAATAAATTTAAAAAAAAAAAAAAAATCAATGGCAGTAAATTGAAGCAATAAACAGCTACAACAATAAATGTTTCTA